TCAAGCAAGTACTGCTGTACGGGCCCGTGAGGGATTTCTGCAAGATTTTCCGCCTGGGTTCTCCAATTCTTCTCCGTTTTCCCGACCTCGGCAACTTGCGCGGCTAGCTCGCTCTCTTCCTCGCACACGCGCTCGCACCCGCCCTCCTCTTGCCCCGCCGACAGCCCCCTCCACTGCCTACCAACACCCTCCATCTGCGTGTATTTAAATGTCCTCGCGCAATCTTCAACGCCACTCCTGCTGCCAAGCAAGGGCGCACAAAAAAGTCTTCCCGCACACCTACCCGACAACCCCCCCCCACCCCTTCGGTGTTTGCCATCGGGGTTGGGTTTTCGTCGCTTGGCAACGACGTTGTAAAACAAGCCGCCCCCCCGGGTGTTTGCCATCGGGGTTGGGTTTTCGTCGCTTGGCAACGACGTTGTAAAACAAGCCGCCCCCCCCGGTGTTTGCCATCGGGATTGGGTTTTCGTCGCTTGGCAACGACGTTGTAAAACAAGCCAATTCACTTCGTGAACTCGGCAACCAGGTTACCGTTTTTTTTTTTTTCCTCCGTTTATTTTTTTTGGGCGGTAACCATAATGATGGTTGAGTAGATCATGTTGTGCGGGGTGAACCCTCACTCCGCGCAAGGGGGATGATCGCACCACGTTGTGTTAAAATGGTCAAGCACCCTCGAGGCAGTTACACAGTGCTTACAACTGTCTCTGGAAGTGAAAGCACCAGACATTATTATAATTCATACGCAGCTGTCATCCGTACGCAAGGAAGTAAGCACAAGATGCCGAACACCCTTAGCAGGATGCAGCGCACCCTTCATGCGACTCGCCGAATATCTCACGGCGCTTCGCGCTTGGTGATGTGAGAGCCTGGTCCGGTGAGAACCCGGCGTGCTCCGTCCCGGCTTTGTAGGGATGCGAGGTCAATGGTCTAACGACTACGGCATGCACGACTATGAGTACACCCCGCCCCCCGCCCCCCCCCGAGAGGGGGACTAAAACGTTTTGTTGTTTTCGTGGTACATTTTTGTAGAGGCTTTGTTGGCTTTTACTCTCTCCATTGCGTGTGCTTGCGTGTGCTGGTGTTTACGGCACGCAATAGTGCACAACGACCTTGTTACCACAGGTAGTAGAAGTTGTTTGATAGGTTTGAGATAGTTAATGGTGTGTACATTCGGCGCCGGAAGATGATCACTTTGTATAAATATTTCTGTGATGGGCTACTAACTTCGAGCTAAATAGTTAGTTGGTTTTCAAGTCTTATGCGAGTACAGTGCTTGGAGACACCCCCCCCTCACGCCATAAGTATCTTAGAACTTCCCAATACTTCTGCGACAAGTCCGCGACATTTGACCTTGGGCGAATATGGCGAAACAACACACGACAAACCAGAACCAAAGGACGCATAAATACCATGCGTCAAAACGTCATCAAAATCCAAGCATACTCAAACCGGCAACATCCCGAAGATGGGCTGCCGAGGAGCCTACGGCGGCGGTGACATCACCTTCACCACGTGCAACACCCGTCCACAATTACAATTGCCGTGCGTTCAAGTTCTAATTATTCACATCCCCCCCCAGGCCCCTCCACGTCCCTCAACAAGACTAAACCGCCGTTTCTTAGAGCGCTTTTTCGCCTCGCGCGCCTTCGCCCTGCCTCCTCGTCCCCCCTCACCCGCACACCTCACCCTCCCCCTTCTCCTCCTCCTCCCCCCTCCCCTCCCCAAGCCCTCGATCTCTCTCCTCTGCTAGACGGACGGTTTGCGCGCTCAAGCTCGCCCAGGGACTACGTGGGTTGTTACTACCCCCGTGTATGAAATGTGCCCACTCTTCATGTAGAAATTAGTATGGGCGTGTGTGCGAAGAAAATGGTATATCGTTTGGGGGGGGGGGGTATGGTCCGTCGTAATCCCTCCCCCCCCGGAGAGGTCTGAAAAACGTTTTGTCGTGTAGGTGTCGGAAAAAATATACAAAATGCGCCCTTGTGCCAAGCGTAGGCCCTCCCCCGTTCTGCCAGCAGAAAAAAAAGCAGATTTGGCCATAAGCAGAATAGGCATAATAAGCGGGTCCAATATCAACATCTGCTCGAGCAGAACAAGCAATGCTCGAGCAGAACAACCTGTACCTGGAGCAGGTGAAGCAAGATAACGAGCAGAAATGCCTACATCCTACTGTATCACTACCAATTTGACGCCAATACGTGCCGGAGATGGCTAAAAAGAGGAATGATTGGGTATAATTGGGCCTTGAGCCACTTAATAGCAATCGGTGGTACGCGAGGGGGTCGATAAGGCAAAGAGAAGATATCGAGAAAGCAAAGGCGGCAAAGGCATATTTGGCCCAAACAGGAATAAGTGAGAGAATAACGACGGAAAAATTGCACAACTGGCCGTTAACCGAAAAACAAGCGTAAGGTGAGGGCATACCCACCGACAAGTAGCAGAAAAGAGGGAAATTGGCCCAAAATATCAAGAAAAGTCGTGCGTCGAGACTACTAGCAGTTGGACACGGTTTGCCCTTTGATTACGATTGCAGCAACTAGTCTGTGTAGTAGTAGAAAATAATCTTTCTCTCCGTGGCATATATTCTCTTGTTCTAGAATTATTCCGGAAGCATGCTGGGTCGAGGTCGATCGGGACATCTACGTAGAACGTGTGTAGCTTCTGGAAACCTTTTGGAACCTTCTGGAACCTTCTGGAAGCGTTCGAGACCTAGGTGCACTTGATACTCTTCTAGAACGTAGGAGGGCTTCCAGAATCATTCTGGAAGCATTCTAGATCTTTCGTGTGATTGGCTTATTTGTCCGGTAGTCGAGGAGAGTGCTGCAGCCCTAAGCTCGCCACCCCTCTCACTCCTCTTCAGTACCAGCAACATCGATCTGACTCGGGAGTCAGCAACTAATAACAAGCATCTTCATATTCCATTCCAAGTCTCTCGCGGTTGGAGCCGCACAGAGTGTGAACCTCGGAGGTAGGCTACTCAGCCTCCTGGCATCTGCCGCATCGTACTGCTGCTAGTGCACAGCGAAATTACGCTTACACAAAATAACGAGCATAATTGAGGGCATGGCATACCGGCCGAAAAGGAGCAAAACCAACGAGCAGATTGGACATTGGAAGCAGATGCTCGCTGAAAAAGGAGCAGAAATAATAAAAATAAAGGAGCAGAATGGGGAAGGGCCTAGCCAAGCGACCCTTGTGCCAAGCGATAGAAGTTTTGTGTTTCTTCATGCGCCACATTTCCAGCGGGGCGCTCCGGCCAACATTCCGAGTTTCCGGCCGCTTGGCAGCTCGCCATTTCTCCCATCACATTCCAACGTGAATATAGTGTACAGTCGACCCCGCTTTAAGGACGCACATGGTTTTTCCGAGAAAAAGCGTCCTGAAAGCGGGGTTGCGTCCTTCAAATTTAGGGGACGATAGCTCACCATCCCCGGGGCCAATAGAGGCATGCTATACCTTAAACTACGCGTCTTTTGCAAATGAAGGGGTAGTACGAAAAGTCAGCATCGCCGAGACGACTGGCAACCGTTTGTTGACGTCGAACATATTTGCAAAACTCAAAATGAGATGTACAGCAGCAGTCGGGGACGTGTTGAAAACAACTACAGCAGTACACCAGTTTGTACTTGGCCAACTAGTGTATTGTATAGCCGGCAGCGGAAGAAAAAGGAAAGTCCAAGTAGACAAATAGTTATCTCATTCTTGTGAAACAAAAAAAATCGAGCGTATTTCAGCGTCGCACCGAGGAACACCAGTTATTAGTACATATCACTGTCCCGGCGGAGACAAAAAGCTACCCTGATGGATTTTCCTTCCATATAACGCGAAGAGTTCCCTGAACCTCCCCCCGCGGCTTGGCTCTACGGCTCTGTTGAGTTTCATGGGTAAACGAACGAAAGGTCTTCGAAAGAAGGTAGTGTGTCTCACGGTACTCGCCACCCCTTCCCTTCGCGTACAAATACAGATAGTGCCCGCATTTAAGAAAAATTCTATAAAGGAAAAAGGCTCAAGTTTGTACGAAAATTAAATATGAAAAAATAAAATACATAGACTAATGGTGCGATACCCCCATGACATCAGATCAGAAATTCGCGGTGCTCCCACCCTCCTCCCAAGCTGAACAGAAGCGCATTTTTTTTTCTGGGGGGCAGAGTTCCCCGCCCTCCTCCCCGCGCGCCCCTGCTGTTACAGTGAGTGCTACTGCCACACATCGCGGAAAACCATATGTGCTCTCCGTTGTTGTACGGGCTTGATGGCACTCTCCACCACCTCTCATGAGGAACGAGAGAATCGAAAGGATTCGACAGTCCAAAGGAAGAAGAAATGCCATTGGCGAAAATGGACGTCTTGAGCCGGTACTTCGACCGAAAAAAAGGGATTGAGGCTCGAACCGATTCTGACGTTTCTTACCTGTAGGATCGAACGTCCTCCGAGCGAGAGATAACATCGCCCTCGGTGAGGGACGAGGATATGCACAACATTTTTTTGGCGGCATCAGATGGACCACCGGTAGATGGGAGTAATCAACCCATATCAACACCCAGTTGCAGCTGCAGCAGCAGACCGCTCGCTACTTCTGCTGTCTGTGCGTCGCTACTTCTGCCCTCCCTGTGGTGCGTGGTTCGTGTAAAGAGCGGCCCGCAGGCCTGCAGGACACAAAGAAGGGGGTACCCGCATTATCATATATTCTGCCGGGCCCCTGATGCTCAGCCAAACGCGAAAGATTGTCTGACGAAGTAAGGGAAATCTGCGTTTTGTGAGAAGCGGCAGAAATAAACCTTGGCCAATCAGAAAGCAGGAAGCGGACGAGCGTGTTGGTGTTCTGTTTTCAGTCTACTCGCTTCGCCGTGTTTACCGGGGGCGAGCGAGAGCACGTGTGCGTGTGGTGGCCAAGGGTTGTTTTCTGCTGTGATGTTTACGTTTCCCCTGTTTTCGGGGCGACATGGATTCGCATCCAAATCTCGGAAAAGGGCCTGCCGACGGTATCCGTACGTCGGTGGATGCCTCGATCACCGACGGCGGCGGCAGCAGCGGTGGTGGCGGTGTCCCTCCCTCCGCCACTGTGGCGGCGCGCCTCTGCCGCAATGGCATGGGCTGCCCAGCAGGACCAGCAGAACCCGCCGCCGCAGCAACAGCAGCCGCCGCAGCAGCAGCCGCAACAGCAGCAGCAGCAGCAGCAACTTCAACGTCAGCAGCAAGAAGCGGCAGCTGGGGCCGCAGCCGCGGCGGGGTCGGCGGTCGGCGGGGACGAGGCACGGCTGGCCGACGGCATGGCTGGTTTATCCGTGGAGGGCCTCGGTGGGTCGTCTACGATGGCCGGGGGGAACAACCTGGGTGCCGGTGCGGCGTCGGTTTCGCCGGGTGCGTTGCAGCTTGTGATGTTGCAGCAATACAACGAGAATCTCGTTGCGAAAGTATCGGCTTTGGAGCAATCCCTGCAGCAGTTGCTGAACAACCAAGGTGGGGGCGCGGGTTCGCACGTGGTCGGCCCGCATGCTGCTGATGGCGCGGGAGCCGCGGTGGCGGTCGGTGCGGGTCTTGGTGCAGCTGCTGCTCCTGGGTCGGACGCTGATCGCCAGCGTCGCTTCGCAAAAGCGGAATTCGAGAGTACCGCTTCTGCTTGGCGTGCGGGACGTTTGATGTGGGCGCTGCGTGGTAAGCGGGGAATTGACGTTCCCAACAAAGAGACCCTGCAAACGATGATGGGGGGGACCGTTACCGGCACCGACAAGACTTTGCAGCAGCTTCGGACCATGTCCGGACTGAACGTCCTCGACTTCTTTCCCGTTGGCAATTCCGGTGAGCTGTCAGTCCCGGACCACTTCGATTTGACCTGTGCTGCGATCGTTAACGTGTTGAAATTTGGTCTCTCTGCCACCTCCGCGGACAACGCTGCAGCTCTGGCGCGCTTGCTGCCCATGGAGCAGGCCATGCTTTCGGCGCGGGGTACGCTGCGCATGCAAGCCCTCCGTCATATGGGCGATTTTCAGGGGAGGGGGTCGCGGGGGACCTTCGCCGACCTCCCTAACGACGATTTTCGGGAATGGGCAAATGCGGTAATGTTGTGGATGTTACCGATGCAGAATTTGCCGGTGCCGCCGGAGTCTTTCGAGCGCTTTGGCCCCCCGCCGGTTCCTCGGTTCGATGGCATCAACGGCTTCTCCATGTCCGGGAGCATTGCGCTACGGATGTTCGGGACTGTGGGTGGTGGAGGGTCTTCTGGATCGAGTGGGGTAAGAGACGGCGGGGGGACTCCCGCTCCGCGGGTGGGGACTCCAAACGCCGGTCGAAAGTGTGTTTCGAATATCGCGACTCCCAAACATGCAGGTGGGGCGACTCCTGCGTGTTCCGCCATGCGACTGGGGGCGGCAAGGGTGGCGGCGGCGGTGGGGGTCGCGCTTCGGGTGGAGGGGGAGCCTCGGGCGCCGCGACCGATGGCGGAAGCGGCTCCTCGGCGTTGGTCGTTCGCCGGGGAGATGGCAGCAACTGAGGACACGGGCTCTGCCTTTCGGCGGGGCCAACTCCACAGTCGTGTGGGAGCGTAGATCAGACAGCGGGGCCGGGTTCCAGAGCGCTTGGGGCCGCCGCGTTGGCGGCGGCGGGCGTGGGTGTCGGTCGAGGGGCGTGTGTGCCCGGGGCTGTCTCTTCGTTGCGACCAGGTGATGTCTCGTTTAGGTCGATAGCGGGTTCGCGTGAACTTTGCGAATGGCGATCTCGTGTGTCTGCTTTGGCAGCGGTGTGTCCACCCTCCGATATGGGTGTGGGTCTTAGTGAGGTGGCTTCCGCTGGTTCCACCTTGCTTAGACAGTGTGGGGGGCGCATTGAAGTGCTCGTGGCGGCCGGTGGTGCCGGCTTCTTTGCGCCCCATGTCAATGTTGCGTCGGTTCGTGAATTTTTTGGGGTCTCGAAACGTTTTCCGCAAATTGACAACCTCCTCCGCGTGTTGTGTCCTGGCGCGCCGGTCGATGTCGCGCCGGGGGGGTGTCTAGACGCCGAATTAAAATACGGCAACCATTCCAGCATTTTACCATACACTCCGCAGATCATTGACAAGATCGTTTCGGATGTTACGTTAGGTCGTGCTCTCGTCTTCGACGTGCAGTTCATCCGTGAAATTTTGGGTGTGCGTGTTTCCCCCCTTGGGGTGGTGGACGATCCGAAATTCCGCATCATTCATGATCTCACATTCACAGCGGCTGGTGCGCAGTCTAGCGTCAATGCAGATACAGATTTTGATCGTGCCCCCGAGTGTCTGTTGGGACATGTACTTTTCGATGTCTTGTCGCGCGTCCTCTTTTTGCGCCAATTGCACGGGCCGACTCTCGAGATTTTGCTCTGCCGTATTGACGTGCGTGAGGCTTTTCGCCAAGTGTTGGTCGACCCTTCGAGGGCGTCGGTATTCGGATACACGATGGGGGACGTGGTCGTCATCGACCTTCGTTGCCAGTTTGGTTGGCGTTCCAGCCCAGGTTTTTGGTCGCTGTTTGGTTCCGCTCTTGAGCATGCACACACCCACACTACTTTTCAGACAGCTTCTGTGTTACCTGCCGGAGTTGCGGCGGTTGATCATGTTCAGCTTGTTCCTCCCCAAAACCTCCCCGTATCGTTACCGAGTGATTGTGCCCAAATTTCTATGGAGGGCGGTTTCGCTGGTTCCGCGTTTTTCGTTCGGTATTATGTGGATGACGGTGTGCTTGTCGAGGCGCGGTTTTTCACGGATGGTCGTCGTTGCCTACGTGCAGTGCAGTCGATCGCGTCGGACCATTTCCGTCTGCTGGGACACCGGGGGCCAAACGATCCTCCGTTGTTGTCTGCAAAGAAAATCACCGATTTTTCGACGCGTTTGGAGGTGTTGGGATGGATTTTAGACACGCAAACTCTCACAGTGACCATGCCTCTGCGAAAACAACAGAAATTAAACCGCTTGTTGGGCGAGTGGCCGCGGTCGCGTCGGTGTGCGACTGCCCGTCACGTCGCGGAATTGACCGGTTTTCTTCTTCACGTGTCTTTTGCCTTGCGTCCGGGCAAATTTTTCGTCGGCTGTCTGCTGGCCGACGTCGGCATGCCGCAGTCCGAAGTGTTTCCTTCGCGTGTTTCTAACCCCAATCGGCGTGTCGTGTTGGGGCCCATGTTTCACGATGATTTGGATTTTTGGCGCTGGTTTGCGCAGCGAGGTCTGGCGTCGCGTGGCGGCCAGTTGTGTGCACCGATGTACAATGTGGTGCTTCGTCCTCCGGTAATGGCTGTGTTTGCCGATGCTTCCAAAACGGCGTTTGGAGCATACTGTGTGCAAACTGGGTGTTATTTCCGGCGTGATCTGACGTGTGACGAGCAGTCCCGCTTTGTGGGGTCTAGCAAGTCTGTATCCGAGTGTGCCGATGTCAGTATCAATGTTCTTGAGCTACTCGGCATGGTCGCGGCGGCATGGGTGTTGATTGTGCAACAGCGTCATGTGCCGGTGTCGGCTGGTGACTGTATCCAGTTGCGGGGAGACAATGAAGCGAGTGTGGCATGGATTGAGCGGTGTCGCGGAGGCAAGGAGCCGCGGTCAGGCGCGCTCATGCGGATGCTGGGGGCGATTGAAGTGTCTAGCGGGTGGCTTTTCCAATCGTCCCATGTGCCTGGTGTGCTCAATTCGCTTGCTGATGGTATTTCTCGCTGGCCCGCCGCTGATGTGTACGACAACCTTTGTGCCGCTGCCCCCCATATACGATGGCAGGAAGTGGAGTTGAATCGAGCCGGGCAAGAGATGTGCTCTGCCGTACTGGGGCCAGTCTCGTCCGCCAGTCACTTGCGCGAACGTCTGAACGAACTTACCTGGGCCTTTTTGGAGCCTGGGTGAAATATCGTGTGATCGTGGTGAACCGGCCGGTTTTTATTGCTGCCGAGGTTGTTACGCGTGATGTCGTTGCTCAATTGCTTGAGTACGTCGCGTATTGTTTTTCCGTTTTGGGTCTACAACAATCGACGATCGCCAGTCATTTGTCCGCTATTAAGTTCTTCCATCGTGTGTCGGGTGAAGGGGAGCTTGATACGCAGCATCCGCTGGTGCGTTGTGCTTTACGTGGGGCGGCGCGGGGGCATGCCGACGTGGGCACACAGCAGCGGTTGCGACGGCCGGTGTCTTGGGCGATGTTGCAACGGGGGAGTTCGCTGGTATCGCAATGGGGGGTAGGCGGGCGCGTTTTGTTTCTTGCGCTGAGTGCTTCTCTCTTCTTCCTGACGCGAGCATCCGAGATGTTTGCGGTGTCGAAATTGTCTATGCATGAGGTTCATGGATTGCGTCGGGGGGATGTAGCGTTTTTTCGGGGGTCGGTCCAGCTGTTGCAGTCGGCGCAGTGGCCATTGGCCGATCGCGTGGAGGTACGTTTTCGTTCGTCGAAAGGGGACCAGTTTCGGAAGGGGGAGGTTTGCACGCGCACACGGCAAGGTCCGTGCTGTGGGGTTGACCGAGGGGGTGGTGCAGTGGATGTCATGGTGGAGCTGCTTTCTCTGTATACCTTTTTGCCTTCGCATGCGCCTCTCGTGGCTTTCGGTGTTGGTCAGGGCCAGTGGGCCATGTGGACTAAGTGTCAAGCTACTGTGGCTCTTCGCCAAGTGGTTGCGTTGGCGGGTTTGCAGCCCGAGGAGTACGCGCTGCACTCCCTGAGAATTGGGGGCGCAACTTTCGGGGCGGCGGGGGGGGCTTCGCCGGAGGTTCTCCGAAGAGAAGGGCGTTGGTCGGGGGAGAGTAGTCACCAGTGTTACGTTCGGAATGTTGGGGGTGACGCTTCGTGGGTGTCAGAGGTGTTGGCGAACAAGGAGAAGGTGACTACACAGCCAGGGCAAGGTACCCGATGGGGTGACGTGTGAAGGGGTTCCGTGGCACGTTGTGTATGTCGAGATCCTTGTTGTACCGATGGTATTTTGCTGTACATATTGTATGCCGCATATATTGGACGTTGTACATATCGTATGTTTTGCACATATTGTATGTGGTATATGTTGTGCATGGTTTGCCAAAATAAAAGGGGAGGGGGGGGATCAGTATGGCGCACCAGCCTTAGGTTTGGGGGCAGACAGAGTTTATATGTCTCTGTTGGGTGGCTGATGTTTACACTGATCGTAAGGAGTAGACCGGGGGCGTGTGTGGTGTTGCCCTGCCTGGTCTCCGCTCTTTTCCCCTCCCCCTTGGCGAGCAAAGGGGGTACGCAAATAATAATGACAAATTTCGAAAGCATCGAGAAAAAAGCTTCTTTTTTATGCGGAGAGTTTCCTTAACGCGAGCGAGCGTCCTTAAAGCGGGGTCGACTGTATTCATATAAAAATATCTCGCAACCAGTGGCGTCTCCCCTCCTCGTACGGTTGGCCGGCTTCGCCTCGTCCATACAGTTTGAAGGTCGTCGGTTGTCATCCAATGGTTCAGAGCCACAGAAGAGTATCCGGTAGAGTGTTCGAGTTATCCCTCTTGAGTGGGCCCATGAGAGCACATACCATATATACAAGGCGTCCCTACGGAGTGGGGAAAGAGAGCACGCGGCAGGGGTTGATGCAAGAACATGAAAAAAGCAAACGCAGGTATAGATTATAGAGAACAACAAATTGGTGAAATTGAGAGCGAAGCATGAAATTGAGAGCGAGATTGCGCGATGCGCTGCAGCTGGACTACTGCTGAGAGGTGGAGCTTGCTGTGTAGGTTGAATTGAAGGGCCAGCCTGCAGCTACAATCAGATACCCTGGTCATCCTGTGGGAGTCTCTCGATGTGGAGTTACAAATGAGCAGAAGCTACAGCAGAGGCCACCGCCCGAGGTCACACCGCCCTGCAACAGTTTGAGGCAGGAATAGCCAATCTTGGGAAATCTAGCAACTTGTCTAGCTCCTATAGCTGCAGCATCCGATGACGATGACACGCATATGCTCGTGACGCTGCTGATGAGACCTTCAATTTGCCCGCTTCTTGGAAGAGCCCGCCCCCTACTTCCCAAGAAATGGCAAGAGGCGTCTGGACCCGAATTTTCAGTTTTTTGGCTCTGAGACTCGCTCTCAATTTCACCAATATGTTGTTAGAGGTTGCAGGGCAGTGACCGTAGCATCATGGTGTGTGCCGCACATTCCGGAGGAAAGAAGAGGCCACATGGATGTGGATGTATTTGTTGTGAAGGTGGGACGGATCGAATGAATCTACCGACAGGAGCAGCGCGCGCGCGTATATGTGTTATTCAAATGTTTATTCAAGGGCAAACAAAACAAGCCTTTCCGCACACCTACCCGACCCCCCCCCCCCCCCCCCCCCCCNCCCCCCCCCCCCCGGGAGGAGGGGGACGAAAAAGTTTTGCTTTTTTCCTAGGGAAATTACATTATTGCAGAGGCTTGTTGGCTTTCTCCCTCTTCATTTCGTGTGCTTGCGTGTGCTTGCGTGTGCTTGCGTGTGCTTGCGTGTGCTGGTGTTCACGGCACGCAGAAGTGCACAACGACCTTGTTACCGCAGGTATTAGAAGTTGTTTGATAGGTTTGAGATAGCTATTGGTGTATTTATTCCGCGCCGGAAGATGGTCACTTCGTATAAATAGCTACATTAGCTCCTTTGATGGCCTATAACGGAAGGAGAGGCTAGGCGGGTCCAATGTCTATGTGGGTCTGTGTGGTCTCTAGCCATTCAACTGGCAGGACCCTGGGTGTCCAGAGGAAATGTCCAGAGAGGAATGTGCATGGGACCCCAGCCTACAAGCACTGCTACGGACCTGATGTTAGCAGCAACTCGATCGGTACCGAGTTCGGTAGATGAGCCGGACCAGCGGTAGTAATGAGCCTCGAAGGTGGCTTGTGAGAAGGAGTAGAAGGTCTCCGGTCGTGGATACGGTATTCGCTTGTTGATTATTGCTAACTCAGGGCTAACTCAGGGCAAGCAAGGAGAAGAGAAGTGAAGTGAATGTAAGGGGGCTGAGCAACCTAGCCTCTAGACGGGGCCCGGCAAACCGGGCCTTACTGCTAGTACCTGTTGGGAATAACGCATTCTCCCAAAGGTGCAACTCCTATCAACCGTAACAATGCAACCGTAACTTCCCCCCATTAGCATGAACAGCTATTTGTCAGCTGTCACATGCTAATCAACGGTAGCAGGAAATGTGTAAACCGCAAAGTGACACACTTCCTTTTGGAATACTACGATGCAATGCCTTTGAGTGGGCTGAACGTTCAAACGAAAACTACAAGAGGTGAATGGTGGCAAAACCCAAATAAAATCCACTCCTCTTCATAATTCTCACTGCGCGTTGAACCACGGCCCGACATCGACTTGCGCGAAGGAAAACCCGGCCTCCGGGGCAAACCCTTCGCTCCCCATCCCGAGAGCCCTAGAACTTAGACTTCACAACCGAAAACACCAAGTTTCACTCGGACGAAAAATACTACAAAAAAAAGCGTTCCTCGCTTGGTGAATTCACTGTAGTTGCCGTCAGGCTCTCAACACCTACAGCGCGGGAAAAACCTGGCCACCCAGGAAAAAGCCCATTGCGCAAAGCACCGACAACGCCAAGCCCAATCAAATGCCACGGCACACAGCACAAACCCTCTTGGGCGCTACCGGGTACACAGCACGAACCCTCGTGGGTGCTACCGGACGCAGGACCACCCTTCGACTGCAAATCAGACCAGGACATCTAGCAAGTACGGTCTCCGAACACCTAAGCTTCACTGAACCTCAACTGGGGGGCGCACTCAAAAATCGAATGGACGATGCATGTAAAAACCCAAAACAGAGAGACTCTTATCAACAAAAGCCAAAATTTATCCATGGTATATACATGCGACCGAATCTTGTACGGACATCCATGATCACCCGCAGACGATCGCACTAACCCAACGCATCCCCTTCCTCGAGCAATCACACTAGCTGGAAATCCTTCCCCCCAAGGCTATCCCGAAAGTCTTTCCAGTTCGCGTCTGGACAGCTCCTCCCAGTTCTCGTCAGTGTAGCGCACGCGCCAGTAGGGGGAAAGGTAGTCATACACCTGACCCTGAAGTTGGATTCCTCCGGCGAGCTCCTTCTGAAAGGTAAAACCTATCGGCAAAACGTGCAAAGCTTGGGCGTGGGACAACGGGGTACGGAGCTTGCCTGAGTCGGGTGCAGAAGCGTTTGCCAGCTGGGGAAAATACAAGTGCCAGAGAGCAACGAAGTAATCCAACTGAAGGGGTGTGAAGCTGCGTCGCATGGTCTCTTCCGACAGCCAGTCCGACACGACACCGTTCCCTGACTTCCCCTTGTACTCCCAAACAGTTCGCATGCCGGAAGCTGGTTGAACTCTGCGACAGTCGGCGATGGTGACTAGACCCAGACTCTCTTTAGCTCCTGGAGGCAATTGGAAGTCGGGCCCCCACGCATACTGGGCGAACTCTTCGGCTAGCGAGTGTCGTTGTCGGAGGTGGGAAGGTTTTACAGATACCCTTCGGCTGCGCTTCTTTCTACCATGCATCATGACTTCTACACTGAGACCAGGCTGGATCACCCCCGTCACTTTCCACGGTCCTGTGTAGAGATCTTGTTGCAGCTTTCTTCCCCTATGGTCACGATGTCGACTACTCTCGGACTTGCGCACGAGCAACAGGCTGTCCTTCACGACGGCCACTCCAGCTGACGACCTCTCGATGGAGGCGTTGGCTTTTGCGCGTGCAACCACTCAAAGCTCATGCTGTTTCTCGAGGGCGAGTCGTACTTCAAGGAGATTTGCTTGCGCCTCTCCACGAAGTTGTCGAGTCCCCGTTCCTGATCCATCTCGTCCGTAAGAGGAACTAACGAATCCAGCGACGTGCGAGGCTTGCGGCCGAGCAGGAGCTCGAAGGGGGTCATATTAGATGGGTGCGAGGTATCTGGCACGGTGCGTTTGATCCACATCGCAGGCGAAACATACTCATCCCATCGGTCAGGCCAGGACCTACACAGCTCAGCCAACAACTCCTGTAGCCATCCCCCCAGTCTCTCTGCCGACCCGTGGCCTCGAGGGTGATCAGCAGCACCAAACACGATGTTTGCCTGCAACCATCTACACAAGTGCTTCACCACCTCTGCGCCAAACTCTGGGCCTCCGTCGCAGCNAGCAGGAGCTCGAAGGGGGTCATATTAGATGGGTGCGAGGTATCTGGCACGGTGCGTTTGATCCACATCGCAGGCGAAACATACTCATCCCATCGGTCAGGCCAGGACCTACACAGCTCAGCCAACAACTCCTGTAGCCATCCCCCCAGTCTCTCTGCCGACCCGTGGCCTCGAGGGTGATCAGCAGCACCAAACACGATGTTTGCCTGCAACCATCTACACAAGTGCTTCACCACCTCTGCGCCAAACTCTGGGCCTCCGTCGCAGCGCACCGTCTGTGGAACTCCGTAAGTGAGACACAGCTCTACCACCACCCGGACTACGCCCATTGCTTGTTTGGCTTCTAGCGGGAACCCGAGGGGGAACTCTGAGGCGCGATCTACCACGAGCAAGATGTAGTTGTTGCCAGTTTGCGATGGTGTGTCGATCTTGAGCATGTCCATTTGCAACTCGTCCCACGGCTCGAGCGGTCTCCCTGGCATCGTGGCTACTCGTCTGCTGGGCGGTCTCTTGCGTCGGCACATGACAACACATAGTGTCGAGTGTCGTTCGTCATCGTGGGCCAGTGGAAATGATCGCGCAGAAGAGACAGCGTTGCTCCTACCCCTGCATGACCATGTACCATGTGCACCAACGCAAGGATGTCAGCTACCATGGCGACCGGAATAGCAGGCAGTTTCTTCCCTTCCCATCGTAATACCGAATCACATCATCCGCGCCTAGGCTATACCTGTCGCAGCCACTTCCCCCCTGGCTAGAGTCAACTCCATTGCTCAGAACCTTGCGAACCTGACTCAGATGGATGTCGTCGCGTTACCGATGCGCTAGCTCGGACGGCCTTGTGAGTAGTACCCGTGCTGTCAGATCGATGGCTGATGCTCCACCAATCGCGTGGCTCGACGAAGACATCGGGGCCTCCCCCTGTGCAGCCAGCACCTCACCGATGTCGTCGTGGCCAGGTCGAACGGGAGGCGGCGGTATCGTCGATAACGACGGCGCCGGAGCGGAGGATCCTGCCGTGGTGGGGCCGATGGCCTCTCTGTCCGGAATGGCCTCCAGTACGCTTATCGGGGGCAGCTGCGCGTCGCCGATCGGTCGTAATCGCACCGAAGGGGTACGGGTCCGGCCGCTGCGGCGGGGGGCATCAGGCTCATGGTCAACAGCAGCACACGCAGCGAAAGGCAACGCTCGAAGGGCGGACAGGTGGAAGTCGGCCACCTCCGGGGTGTGGTGAGAGGTGTGGGAGTCAGCATCGCCTACTTGGTCTACCTGCATTGGGTCCAACTCAGCCAGCCTTACACCCTCCAACTCCGGTCCTAAGATCTCTACCGAAGCGCCTGCAGCAGCGGACGACAGATCTTCCGGAAACGAATCGTCGACGTCGACCTCTACAGGGTTCGCAACGGGCAACCGGGACTAAGCATCGGGCACTACGTGCCCTATCCCCGCCTTCCATTCCAGCTCCATGTCGTACTCCATCAGCCGCAAAGCCCACCTGTGCAGCTTGAGGCAGAGTTCACGGCTTCGAAACAACCATGTGAGGGCAGGACAGTCTGTCACAAGTTTGAACCGTCTACAAGCTAGGTACGGCCGTAAGTGGTCTACCGCCCACAGGACCCCATGCATTCCCGTTCCGTGGGCCCCCGTCTAGCATTGGTTTGTGTAAACCGGTGGCTTGCGAGCGCCACCGCTCTGGTGACACCGTCGATTGTCTGCATGAGCGAAGCTCCTACGCCCAGCGTGCTCGCATCCGTGTGTAGTTCGAACGGACGCTCAATGTCAGGGAAAGCGATAACCTTCGGGGAAGCCAACGTTTCTCGTAAAGACTGGAAGGCGTCGTCCTCAGCTGCTGACCAAGGGATAGGAAGCTTGCGTGCACGTTTCGAAGCGAAGGCTTTGTTGCGCAGGATGTTGGTGAGCGGAGCGGCAGTCAAACTGCAGTTGGGTATTAACTGACGCAAGTAGCCGGTGAGACCCAAAAACGTGTGCAGCTCTTGTACTGTGTGTGGGCGAGGCATGCGTGTGATTGCATCTAGCTTAGACGGAGCAGGGTACAGGCCCGTGCTGTCAATGATCATGCCGAGGAACTCCTGCGATGCTGCGCCAAAAATTCATTTCGCGAAGTTCACGGATAGCCCCGCAGCCACAAGGCGGTTCAGAACGAGCGTCAGAGTGGCGAGATGTTCTTCCCATGTGNGCAGTTGGGTATTAACTGACGCAAGTAGCCGGTGAGACCCAAAAACGTGTGCAGCTCTTGTACTGTGTGTGGGCGAGGCATGCGTGTGATTGCATCTAGCTTAGACGGAGCAGGGTACAGGCCCGTGCTGTCAATGATCATGCCGAGGAACTCCTGCGATGCTGCGCCAAAAATTCATTTCGCGAAGTTCACGGATAGCCCCGCAGCCACAAGGCGGTTCAGAACGAGCGTCAGAGTGGCGAGATGTTCTTCCCATGTGTCGCTAGCGATGAGAATATCGTCAAGCCAGCTAAACACGCCCAATAGATGCCCCAGAGCCGACTTTACTCTACGAGTGAAAGCCGCCGGAAGTGCCGTCAGTCCGAAACCCGCGCGAGTGAATTCAAAAAGCATACCATCCACATCTCGGAAGGCCGTCCTGCAACGGTCTTTCTCGGCGATTTCCATGTGGTGAAAACCGGAGGCAAGATTTAGCTGAGTGAAATACTTGTTGCTTTTCAAACCGTCGAATATCGTCTGCATGACACCCAGACCCCCGCTATCCGAGAGCAAGAGTTGTTTAGCTCACGCCAGTCGATGAACAGTCGCAACGTACCATCCTTCTCAACGCACAAGCACTAGGCAGCCCACGGAAACATCTATCGGCGGATCACTCCTCGGTCTACCAACGGTTGAATCTGTGCCCTGATCTTTCGTCGTTCTTTTGGAGAGAAACGTCGTTGCTTGTCGGCAATAGTTGTGCCAAACTCGTTGATCAGAGGAAGCTCAAGCTCGCCATTGACGCAAGCAGGCACTCGTATTTGGGGTGCTCGGCAGAGTATACTGTCTACGGGGCCTCTGGGGGGTACGCGGATGGAATGTATTGACGGACATGCTGCATGGCGATGGTGTGGCCTACCGCATGTCTCTCACTCTCTAAGCAACAAGGTCTTGAGTCAACCTTCTTCCTCTTTCGGCCTCTGACGAGCTACCGCACCCAAACACAATATATTGTAAGGCCTGGTGTTGGTAGTGGGTATTGGCGTCTGAGCGGTGGGAGCTGGGCCATCGGGGCAGCGAACACCATTTTCATAGCTGGGATCGCGGCCAAAGGGGGCGAGGACAGCAGTGCATAGCTGGTGCGGTGGTCATTGCGGGGACCGGGACAGCAGGGTTTATAGCTGGGACAGCACTTCGAGGCTGGGAAAGCAGGGAGGGTTTAGAGTTTTAGTTTGATATGTCTGGAACGGAGGAGGACGCAACTCTGAGCGCGAGGTTGGATGAGGCGCTACGAGCTATAGAGGAGGCCAAGGCTGAGACGAAGGAGGCCAAAGCTGAGACGGAGGAGCTTAGGGCAGCACAGCGGCGGTCTGCGGGTGCACCTGCCGGCAGCAGCTCAGGAGGCGACGGTCTAGTTGCTCCTGGAGGGGCTTCATCTGCACCGGTGAGGCCAATGTGGCCAGGCGGGGTGAGTCATGATGGCGGTACTGGGGTGCCGGGCTTGCCTCTGGGAGGTACAATTGTCAGAACTCCTGTGCCTAGAATCCCGCCTAATTGCACCGCCGACACTTTTCTCAGTTGGCGGAGACGCTTTCTGGCCTACGTGGACAACCACAATCTCCAGCACACAATCTTCGGCAGTGCTGAGGTTCCCGTTGTCAGTTGTCAGGATGAAGGATACTTGACACGCCAGTATGGTGCACAGCTGGTTGTTGAGCACAAGAGGACATGGAGTTTTATCTTGGAGGCAGCGGTGGGGGCCCCATTTGAGAACAACCTGTACTCTTGCCATTCCGTGGCAGAGGCGTGGAGGATGATGGAGGATTGGTATTTGCCGAACCACCCAGCTGATTGTCAGCTCCTCGTCGCCGAGCTAGATAATATAACCATGAGTGATGATGAGGACCCCAAGCTTTTCTTCTCGCGCGTCGCACAACTGGAGACCAAGTTACGGGCTGTGGGCATTGCTAAGAGTGACCAGGAAGTTGTGCAGATCCTTGTGCGCCAACTCCCCGCACGCTACGATGTCGAGAAGCGCACTAGTCTTTCCAAGCGTGATTTAACCCGCGCTGAGTTGCAGGACGTCGTGCGTGGTCGATATGCCACGCTCAAGGCCAGCGAGATGAGGGAGCGAGGGTCGGCAGCTTTGACGCCGGCGGTTTCTGTCAACCCCCATGCTCTTGTTGTGGGCCGTGGTTTTGGACACGGCGGCAACGGGGGGAGCGGGGGGGGCGGAGGCCAACGGCGGAATGGCAACAACTGCGACGGCCGCGGGCAACACTGGTCCTCTGGGGGCGGTGTTGTCCAACAGCAACAGCCGCAGTTGCAGGTGCAGCAATACCGGCAGCCGCAACAGCCGCAGCGACACATGCAACAGCCGAACCAACAGCCGCAGCGGCAGGTGCAACAGTCGTACCCACAGCCGCAGCAGCAGATGCGACAGCAGCAGCCGTACCAACAGCAGTCGCAGATGCAGCCGTACCGGCAGTCGCAGCAGCAGCCGCAGCAGCAGCGGCAGCAGCAACAGCCCGCTTTGAACGGTGTTGGTGGCATCTACGATTGCGGTAGTAATGCCGTGTATCATCAGCCGGAATCACTACCTCCACCTGGCGCGCCGATGGGCACAGTGCACAGATGCGGCCGCTGTGGAAGGCACGGTCACCACGCCATAGATTGCGCCGCCCCCCGCAGGTTCGAGGGCACGTGCGGTGCATGCGGCCAGTACGGTCACATGTGGCGCAACTGTGCCAAGAGCAACCGGCACCCCCACCTCAACGTCGTCACTTTCACAGCAGCAGGTGGTGACACCGGGCGAGCCCTACTTTGATTTGTCGACATTTTCCACGGCAGCGGCGGCGTGGAAGGTGAAAATGGCGGCGGCAGCGGTGGTAGTGACGCGGCGGGAGCGGGCCCTGAGGCGCTTGGCAACGGCGAGGGTACCTTCGGTGGCGGTCTCTTCGCGATGCACCTTGTCTGTTCCGTTACCTCATCCCCCCCCGTGCGCGAACCATCCGACCTTTTCCCACATCGCCCGGGTTCGACGGTCTTCCTTGGAGACACCGGCGCCGTAGTCCACGTGGTCCCTTCTGGGGAAAAGGTGTACAACAGGCGCCCGCCGCTCCCGGAGGAGCGACTACTCATGCTTGGCGACGGTAAGCACATCCCGGTAGAGTTTTTCGGTGACTTGGATGTGATCGTCCACTGCCCTGAGGACGTGCGCGTCACTCTGCAGAATATTGGTGTGGTACCGGGTTTGGCGCTCGATATTCTGTCGCTGAACAAGATCCAGGATCGCCATGAGATCAAGCTTAACCGGCATGGAGTATTGACCTTGGGGGGGCGGGTGCGCATGACAAAATTCCCTCACGGGAATTACATCTGGGGGACTCGCGTTGATCCACTGCCTCAACGCGACTCACCTCCTCAGCCCCCCGCGATGGTTGCGGCGATGCTACGGCCTGGCACGCAATAGCTCTTCACTCCTCCCTCGGTCATGCCAATTCCAAGACGCTGTACGAGACTGCCAAGCAGATGGGTATCAAGGTGACCGGCACTCCGGAGTACTGCGATGGATGTGCGGAGTCGAAGGCGATTCAGCGCTCGGTCCCCAAGGTCATCTCCCCCTCCCGCCGGACGACGCGGCCTATTGAGCGTGTCGCGATGGACCTAGCCGATCCGTTCGGCCAATCCAGCGGCGGTGCGAAGTACGTGATGCAGATCCTCTCTCGTAGAAGAAGAGTGCGCGGGCCCAAAGAAGGAGGTGATCTGCTGTGGCGCCTGTGCTGCTACAGTCAAAGCAGTTGCCAAAGCAGCGGTCGAAGGAGCGGGGGTACTACCGGTAGTGCCGGCTACACTCTGCTCTGCCTGCATGTTCATGTTCTTTGGGGTCTGCATGTGGGGTGTTCCTCCGCACACAGCTGTGTGTGTGGTGTGATGATGCGCAAGGGCAGATGCTGTCACCCCGGGTCATAAAAGAAGGAGGGGGCCCGCGAAT